TGTCACAAGCACTGATTGAGTGGCCCCGAGCCAGCTGAGTTCTTGGCACTGGTGGTGGTGGGGGGCTCCGTTTCCTCGGCCCACCGCGGCGTCAGGGCCCTGCTTTCCGTTGGAACGTTAGGTGGTCTGGCGATGTGACCACAGACACCAAGAATCAGACTCGCTTCTCCTGGCATTTCAAAGATCTTTTACCTATGACCATGGGGAGATAGCTGGTCACTTTAGAGCCTCCGCCATGACCAAAGCTGGGGAATTTAAGCATGCACCCAGTATTCTGTGCACCTGTGACGGCCGGGCTTAGCAGCGTGGCCCTGCTAAGCGCCACTCACTGGGGAGCAGCCATCTCGCTGTGGGCAGATGACCCAAACAGGGCACTGGTCTGGGCCTGGGTGAGTCTCAGAAGCTCCTGCCCGTTCACGGCTGGCCGCCACCTGGGCAGCACCGCTAGCCACGGGCACCGGGTACAAAGCTCTACCTGACCCCGGCCACTGGCCGACGACAACAGAGATTCACAAGCCAGATTTCTCTTTTTCCAGCTTCTCTGAAGACAGAGGAGACTATATTAAAAGAAGACCGTTTAAACTGGAACATGACAGGCTTGGATCGGATGGAAGAAGAAAGTTTCTGGAAGGAGGGGTATGATGTTGAAATTCCCTCGGGGACGGGGCTGCCACGCTGTCGTGCGGATCTCCGTCTCTCCGGAGTGTGCTGCTGACGGAAGGCCGGGACGGCGCTGGGAACTCACGGCCGCTTTCTCAGGCAGGGCTGACTCCTGCACTCACTCAAAACAGATCACGTCTTTCCCAAGCGCCTGACACAGTCCGGAGGGGGCACTCGGCTGGATGAATGGTTTGGGCGCACAGTGATTTGGGTGCAGTCCTGTTCGTGAGACGTGACAGGCACAGGGTGTGTGGCTGAGTGTGCGGCCTCTGAAACCAAACGCTGCGGTTCAGATAGCCGGCTGATTGGCAGGCAATCTTGCGTCTCCATCTCGCGCTCTGTCTACCCGTGGCAGGGGTGCGGCTGCTACAGCCCCACACCGCTGTCCTAAGAGTGTACAGTAGGTTAACATAAGGCCGGGCGAGGTGGCTGAACGACTGTCGTCCTAGCACTCTGGGAGGCCGAGGCGGGCGGATCGTTTGAGTCAGGAGTTCGAGACCAGCCTGAGCGAGAGCGAGACCCCCTCCCCCATCTCTACTAAACAGAAAGAAATAGCTGAACAATAAAAAATGTTATATAATATAAATTAGCCAGGCATGGTGGCATATACCTGTATCCCAGCTACCGGGAGGCTGAGGCAGGAGGATCCCTTGAGCCCAGGAGTTTGAGTTGCTGTGAGCTAGGCTGACGCACGCACTCTACCCCCGGCAAGAGTGAGACTCTGTCTCAACAAAATAATAAGTTAACATAAATAAAGTACTTACACCAATGCCTAGAACAAAGCAGACCACTGGTAAGATTATATTTTTAAATTAAAATTTATTTAGGTCTCTTGGGTCACAGAAGATTATTATATACTGAGTCATATTTTTAATTGCAAAACTAAATATACACCTTCTCTTCTTTTCTTTTTTTTTTTTTGAGACAGTCTTGCTCGTGGCCTTGCTAGAGTGCGTCAGTGATGTCATCACAGCTCACTGCAACCTCCAACTCTGGGCAAGGGATCCTCCTGCCTCAGCCTCCTGAGTAGGTGGGACTACAGGCATGTGCCACCATGCTTGGCCTAATTTTATCTATCTATTACCTATCTATCTATCTATATATATTTTTTAGTTATCCAGCTAATTTCTATTTTTTTAGTAGAGGTGGGGTCTCACTCTTGCTTAGGCTAGTCCCAAACTCCTGAGCTCAAGTGATCCTCTCGCCTTGGCCTCCCAGAGTGTTGAGATTACAGGCATGAGTCTGGTCTTTTCTGTTCTTTAAGTACTTAAAGGTATGATACATCCGTGGAATGGCAAAATCTTAGCGTTGGAAAAAGATGGAGAAATCCCTAGAGGAACAGTTCCTCAATCTGGTGGCACTCTAGAGCCATCAGAACTATCACATGTTACAGAACCAATACCACCAATCGCAAAACAGAATTGTCAGCGGTAAAGGCTTACACAACCGTATTTGTTTTTTAAAAACATCTACTTGTCATTCTAAAGTCTAACAAAGGTTGATCACTGGTCTAGAATCCATCTTCCTCAAAATGAGGACATGTCCTCAAATCAACCTTTCTCATACTTCCAGCGACAGAGAATGGTATTTCATTTCCTCACCATGAAACTGAGTATTCCTTTATGTTTAGTGGGTACTAAGCCAAACAATTCAGACCTAAACACACAGGAAGTTTATTTTCAAATTGAATTCATCACCTCCTCAAATTGTTGGCAAAAGTGATAAAAAAGAGTGGTAAATGCAAATATAATGAATATTTTTTTTTAAAGTCTCTAACTTTTACTACATCCACAGTTAAGTGAAATGAAATATGTTTAAAAGCAAAGTGAATCCATTAATAATATGTAATGCAGCTATTATTACTTTAAATGAAATGCTATGAAGATGGCATTTCTGTTTTGAAAACTATTTGGGAATATACTTCCCCATGACTAATTTCACATATTTCTTTAAAAAAGGATTTTTTACTCATCCATTACCAGTTGTATAATAAGCTATAATCCAGAACCAGTGTTAGGCACTGGGGAAGAAACACTAATAAGTACAAAATAAAAAGCTGCAGTCTTAAGACTTTATATTTTCTCAATGTTTCATACCTTTTTTCTTCTCTAAACTGTTTTTTGTTCAAGTTAATTTAATATTATTATTTTTATTAACACAAAGACAGCGTCTCACCCTTGCTCTGGCTCGTCTTGAACTCCTGAGCTCAAGCAATCCTCCTGCCTCAGTCTCCGAGAGTGCTGGCATTACAGGTGTGAGCCACTGTGCCCTGCCTAAACTGTTGATTATATTGTATGTTAGCAATTAAGCTGATTTTTTTTTTTTTTTGGACAGATTCTCACTTTGTTGCCTGGGCTAGAGTGCCATGGCGTCAGCCTAACTCACAGCAACCTCACTCCTGGGCTCAAGCGATCCTTCTGCCTCAGCCTCCCGAGTAGCTGGGACTACAGGCATGTGCCACCATGCCTGGATAATTTTTTTCTATATTTTAGTTGGCCAATTAATTTCTTTCTATTTTTAGTAGAGATGGGGGTCTCGCTCTTGCTCAGGCTGGTTTCGAACTCCCCATCTTGAGCGATCCTCCTACCTCGGCCTCCCAGAGTGCTAGTATTACAGGCCTGAGCCACCGCGCCCAGCCTAAGCTGATTTTTAAATAGACTTAATTTTGCATATAAGAGAATCCAGAGCTGTAATTCAGGTGAGTTAAGAATTTGAGGGGTGGGTGAGAAGAGTCACTGTGGGCCTTTTTTAAAAAGTGAGTTCAGCTCCTTTCAAGACTAACCTCCAGTATCTGGAGTTGCTGATCAAGAAAAGCAAGACCTGCCTGCAACAGAGGATCCCTGCGCCGCGATCACTCTTTAACATTACATTGAGGCTGGCTTGGAGGACAGAAACATGGCAAGAACAGGACGCCCGAAGGTTGGACTCCATTTAATTAAATGAGAACAGATAACTGAGACAGTGTGATTCAGAGGAGAGGTGGCAGTCGGTCGTTCCCACGGGGCACGTCCGCAAGGGCGACCAAGCAGGCCCACACTGTCACTGATGCCTGCTAAGGACGGTGGCTGCAACTGCCTCAGAAATGTGCTGTCACATTTTTGTTCCATGGGGCACATTACCGGTGGGCAGGGGTCGCACGCAGCCCTCGTTAACACCGCCGTTTCCCAAAAGCCTTTCGATCACAGGTTAGGGATCTGGTCTCACCCCTTCTAATTACGATTACTAAAACGCGGCTTAGAAATCTTTTTGTATCCTAACCGTCCTTTGTTCATTATATTTCCAACTTACCTGGCAGAGACCAAAGGAGCCAGAATTAATACAAGGAAACACAACGGACACAAGCGAGAAAGTATTTATAGTAATGTTGAAGGGCAAGAAAACCTTGGCTGCGGGTTTAGACACTTCAGAGGGCTTTTCCCCCATAAATGCTAAGTAAATCTTCACAAGGCGCCCATTTTCCTTTTACCATAAACTGAGTTTCTCAGATTCCTTTCTGTCTAGTGTCTAAAATCCAACCTTTGTGATGCTTTTTCCTGGACAAGACACAGGGACAGGTTAGTAATACTCACTTAAATTCAGACACTGCCATTCTCTGGCAAAACACATTCGTATATTGCCCTCACAGCAGCTCTGCACAGAGAAGGTGTTAGGAAGCAGGAGACTTTGGCTCTATTCTTTTAATTGATCCGACCTTGGAAAGACCCCTAAGCTGTGACCTCAGCCTCTTTATCTGTAGAAAAGGGATTTGAGTAGGTTGTTTATAAAGTTTCTTCCAGTTCTGATGCTTTATAGCTCTCCTCTGGAGCGCGATGAGGAGATAAGCAAAGGCGTTTGTGACTTGCTCAGGCACATGCGTCTAGACAGAGTAGCAGAGGAGGGCTCAGGCCCGTGCCACATGCCAAGGTGTCCCTACACACCGGGCTGCAGGCTTGTTGAGAATGCGAATGTCACACACTGGTTCACCTTATTATCTTGCTTCACTCTTGGACCAAAGAAATCGACCTGAAGTCTCATGGCTGTATGAAATTTACACGCTTTAAAATAAGATGTTTTAATTAAATAGTCACACCAGAGCTTTTCATTCTGCTGTGAAAATCAGGGGCCAGGGGTTCCTGCTTCTGCCCCACCCCTCATGCCCCTCTGGGTCTGTCCTATCGGGGTGTCTGCGGCACTGCTTGTCAGGAACAGGGATTTCCCTCCTGCCGAAGGCGCAGGATCTGATGGTTCCTGACTCTTCAAGGGCGAAGGGCAAACTTACCTATATAACTAGATGAATTGTACGTTATTATAACTAGGAAAGGTTCTCAGCGTCTCAGTATGCATTTGTTATTTAGACTCACCCACACTTTGTGGATTTCCTAAACAGGAACACTTGAAGTTTTGAAGAGAACTCTTCGAAGAAGAGGTAGTAACTGGAGTGTCGTCCTCTCTTCCCCAAGAAGCAGCCACGTGGGCAGGAGCAAACCTGATCCTTCTCTTTACTCTATTCAGTTTCCACTGTAAAGCTGTTGCGGCAACGTGTACAGCTAGTGTTACAGCTCTTGATCACGGAAAGAACCCAGCAGCGCAAGAAGAGTCAGAGAACAGCCTGTACTCCTCCACAGCAGGCTCAGCACACCTAGTGTTATAGCTCCCATCATGTCTTCTGATCTTCTGCCCCACTTCCCTGTTCTCCTCCTGCTTTTATACCCTTGGCAGGGCTCAAAAAGCGTCCAATCAACTACAAGCTTTAACATCCAATCAACAACAAGCTTTAACATCCAATCAACAACAAGCTTTAACATCCAATCAAAAACAGTGGCATTCAAAAATTACCCAATCAGGATCACACAAGCAGCGCAGCAAGAGATAACAACATGAAGACAGAGGAGACTATATTAAAAGAAGACCGTTAAACTGAACATGACAGCTGGATCGGATTGGAAGAAGAAAGTTTCGGAAGGAGGGTATGATGTTGAATTCCCTCGGGGACGGGCTGCCACGCTGTCGTGCGGATCTCTGTCTCTCCGAGTGTGCTGCTGCTGAGGCAGGCTGACTCCTGCACTCACTCACTCAAAACAGATCACGTCTTTCCCAGCGCCTGACACAGTCCGGAGGGGCACTCGGCTGGATGAATGGTTTGGCGCACAGTGATTTGGGTGCAGTCTGT